TCTGGGGCACGTGACCAGCAGCAAGCCGGCTCCCCGGGGACACCCCAGGGTGGCCAGACCAGAGCGGCCACAGGTAGCCGAGCGGCCAGAGCAGGCCGCTGTACTGGGCTCTGAGCTGGCGCTAGTCCCCGCTGCGGGCATGGAAGGCTGTGGGGCAGAGGACCTCATGCCAGGCCTGGTCCCCGAGCTGCTGAGGCTGCATGAGGTCCAGCTGTGCCTGGCCCAGGAGCAGCTGCTGCTGGAGGACCGCCGGCGGCAGGTCCAACTGCAGATGCAGCTGTGGCAGGAGGAGCAGCTGTGGCTGCAGCAGCTGTGGCAGGAGGAGCAGGCCTGGGTGCGCGTGGAGGGGCTGGAGCTGGCTATGGCCCTGGAGCAACTCCGGAGTGAGGGCCTCGAGGAGCTGCAGACCCAAGGCCAGGTAAGGCCTGGAGGCGACGTAGGGGATGGGGGAGGCCCCTGACAGTCTGTGGGGGTGTGGTGACCATGCGATCAACTGACAGGTCCTGCAGAGGGCCAGAAGGCCGGAGTCCAGCCGACTGTGCACTGCGGCACATCTGGGGGCCCATATTCACATTTGCAAGGTGAGGCTGGTGCCCACCATACTGCAAAGACCATGTGACAGACCTCGCAGGCCGGCCCGATGCTCAGCAGCCAAGGGCACCCAGGGAGGGTGCTTGTTCAGGGAAACTGAGGCAGAGGTATGCCTGCAGAGGACCCAGGCCTCCTGGCCAGGTGGGCCAGGGCAGTGCTTGGGATGCTCAGGGTGCGGGCCAAGTTGAGGGCCTAGGTGGACGGTCAGCAGGTAGCAGAACTGAGGAATACCCACCCCCCACCGCCCTGACACATCTTCCTGGCTGGCGTCCTGGTCCACCTGCCCTGCCTCCTGTTTATTGCAGAGCCTGTTCCCAGGGCTTCAGATGGCGGAAGCAGCACGCGCCTGAGCCTGTCATCCTCATTCCAGGAGGGCTACTGCCTCAGACGCGGCTGGGGCTATTTTGGGGAATTAGGGTCTAACTCGGCTTGGCATGGAAGAGTAGTGACCATGATCCCGCTGGGCCCTGCGATCTGGGAGCCCTCTGGGGTCCAGGCCCACTCCAGGCAGAGGGACTGCATTGGAGGAACAGAGGACAATGTTCCCGTACCAAGTACAGACCCCAGTACAGGCCTGGGTGCTGGAAAGACCCAGAGCCACAGCCTGGAAGGTGTTGGCCGCGTAGCTGAGAAGTCAGATGAGTGCTGTGACAGAGAAGAAATGGGACACAGAGAAGAGGAGTGACAACGGGTGGGGTAGGCGTGGAGGAGGTGCTCTTCCCAGCCCATAGCAGGCCTGAGCCAAGGGCAAGCCATCACCATTCAGCCTGAAAGTGGGCCTGAGGGTGGCCTGAGGGAGCAGCAGTAGACAAGGAAAAGCACAGGATGGCCCAGGTGGAGCAGAGGGTCAGAGTGGACCACACACTTAGTCCGAGAATCCCCAACATGGATTCCAGCCCTGCTCTATTTCAGAACCCATATTCAGTCCACACGGGCCTGCTTCTCATTTCATGTGTTCTAAAGCTGTGCTCCTCTGAACACTGTCCCTGGCACCCAGCCCCAGCCCTGGGGTACAAGACTCAGGGTCAGAGTCTGGAATGGACATCTGAGCTCTGAATCCTCAGTCCACTACACCCAAGACCAACTCAGAACTCCCCTGAAGGCCATTCTCAGAGGGAAGGGTCTTTCCAGAGGGAGTGTCCCTGGGTGGCTGCACAGCATGTGTCACAGGTCAGAGGTGGAGTGGGGTCCCCAGAGGTCGGAGGCTCACACTCACTGGCAGCAGTTTTCAGCTTGGCTCTGGGGACGGACATCTGCCACTTCCTTGACACAGCTTTGGGCGCTCCCTTCTTGCTGCTCATTCTTCTAGGGGTGGGTAGGAAAGGTCAAGGAGAGTGTGCCCAGAGCAGCAGAGGCAGTGGGGAACGGTCTGTGTGGACAGTCAGCAGGTGCTGAACCTGGGGACACAGGATCATACCCCCCAACACAGCTTCCCTCCACCTTCCTGGCCCACCTGCCCACCCCTAGGTATTGGCTTGTGTGTGCCCAGCAGCTTGAGCGGGAATGTTTGGCAAGAACATCTGGTCACAGCTTGTCCCCTTCACCCTCACTCACCTGCTCCGTCCACCCCTGGCTCACCCATCCTCACCCTAGAGTTAATGTCAGGTACCCATCTCTCTGCTCCAGACCACTGGGCTGCTGGCTGGGCCAGCATCATCCTAAACACAAGCCTAAGCCCAGCGCTGCTCTGCTGGAGTCTCCGGGCCTCCCCACCGCCTCCCGCCCAGCCAAGGCACTGACCCCTCTGTGCCCCCAACCCTCTCTTGTCTTGGCCTGGACAGGGGCTGTTGTCAGGGCCTGGAAGCAACACCCCTCTCCCTAGTCCACTCAGCTGACACCGAAGTTCATTTCCCCCCCTGGGGGGGGCTCTCCTGCCCCAAGCTGTGTCGGGGTCCTCTCACCTCCCCCACTGCATAGGTGACTGGCTGCAGCACTATGGCCTGGTCACTGGTTTGACTCCATGCCCATGTTTCCATCGTGAGTGTCACTGAGTGGGGGAAGGAACTAATGAAACTGGGAATGACCCTGAAAACAGAAAATGGGAGGAAGGTGACTGGAGACTGGCAGAAAGAGCACTGAGCATTGACAAGGGAGGGAGAGTGCTTGGGGTGGGAGTGGCAGGGGTAGTGGGACAGATGGTTGAGAGTGGGGCAGTGCCTAAGTCGTGAGTGCCCCTAAGGAGGGTCTGATGAGAAACTGGGAGTGTCTGGGGGGTCAGTGGGGTACTGAGGCACCTAGGGTCAGCTGAGGGCTTCTCTGTGTACACGTGCATGCATGCACCTGGAAGGAGTGTGGGGGGCTCAGAGTGCATGTAGGGTCCCCTGTCCATGTGTCCTTCCAGGGTCCCTGGCTCATGAGGGACTCCCAGTGTTCCTGTAGTGTCCTGTATGCATGCTGGGTTCTGTAGGGGAGGGTCCCTGTTTGTGCATGGGGTCAGGGTAGGAGGAATCCCCCCGTGCATGCGGAGTGTCCTATGTGTGTGGGCACTGTATGTGCCTGGGTGTGGCATGTGTGGGACTTGGTGTTCTTCTAGGGTCCTGTATGGATTTGAGGTTCATGTGCATGGGGGGTCCCTGTGTGTCTGTGGGGTCTCATATATGCGGGGGTAGGTGTATGCACTGGTGGGGGGATTAGTGTGTGTGTGGTATCCTTTGTGCATGCGGGTCCCTATGTCCCTTTAAAATCCTCTGTCTGCGGGTGTGTGCAAGTGCCCTGTGCAGGCAGGTTCTGCTATCCATGTGGAAATGAACATGCCAGTGGGGTCTAGTTATGGGGGTGCTCAGTGCCGGGAGCGGTCTGGGAGGGGACTGGTGTGTGTGGTGAGGGGAGGGGCGGATCACCTGTATGGGAAGGTCCCTTGTGTCAGTGATTCTTCTATACGTGGGGGGGCTCGGCATGTTGGGGGATCTGGGCCGGCAGGGTCCTGTCTGCCTATGGCGTCCCAGGTACTTGTGGGAATCGGAGTGTGCGCGGGGGATACTCTGTGCGGACGTCGGGGTAGGGGATAGCCGGGTATGGTGGTGGGAGTCCCCTGTGCTCACGGGGTCTCCAGGCCGGGCCCCGCCCGGGGCTCGGCGCCGCCCCCACAGTCTCACCTGCCGCACCTGCCTCCCCCAACTCCGAGGCGAGGGCGAGGCCAGAAGCACCGCCCCTCGAGCCGGGCTGGCCCGTTTCCTAGCGACTGAGCCGGAACTTCCGAGTCTCCCCGACTTCCGGGGCGAGGGTCAGGGGTCAAGCATAGGGACCTTAAGCCTTCGGTGAACAGATGTGCGCCTAGGGGCGCGGGGCTCTGGAAGTCGGGGCCTTAGCGCTCTCCGGGGGTACCGGGCCCGGGTCCCCGGGCGCGCCGCCGAGGGGCATGGCCTTGTCCGGGGCGCAGACAGGAGTCCGGGGGCTCCGGGGCGCAGGCAGCGGTCCGGGGGCTCCGGGGCGCAG